CAGTAAAATGGTCAAAAATACAATTGTTTGCTTATGGAGTGGCAGCAATGGTGGAAGAACAGTTGAGTAGCAAATTATTCCAGCATGATGCCAGAGTGTACCGAATTGTTTAGCTGTGATGACTGGACACTGGTATTTTTGTTTTAAACATGAAGTGGTCTGTAAGTGGTGCAAACTTTTAAAAATGGTCATACTGCATGTTGCCATTTCTCTTTAACAGACCATCGTGAGCTGTACTCAGACAATGTTCTGCTGCTTTTCCATGATTGCTGCATTCAGCTATGCACATGTGGATTTCCTCCAGATTTAGGCACAGCAAAAACTACTAGTCATATATGGGATACATCCTCTAATTTACTATAAACGAATGTAATGTATAAAGGCTCCAATGGCACACTGGTTTCTAATGTTTGCACATTCCACTGTCTTTGAAATTATGGGAACTTTCCATCAGAGAGAGAGAGAGAGAGAGAGAGTGTGTGTGTGTGTGTGTGTGTATATATGTATGTTGTAAATTAAGAACAGCATCCCTTTTTAGCAATTAAAATGCATAATTAAGAGTATAAATATTATGTAATCTACAGCTTATCCTGCCACGTTTGAAACTGGCTTGATCTAAAGCAAACGCTTTCATTTGTACATCACAGATTTAAGGCAGGACTGGAAGGGAGCTTGAGATGTCATCTCGTCCATCCCCCTGTACTGAGGCATGACTAAGTCAACCTAGACCATCCCTTTTATGACTAAATGCAATTCGCTTCAAGTGCTCACCTATAGTGTCCTGCAATGCAAATTACAGTGTCATTAGCACTGGTGGCTCTGCTCGGTCTCCACACAGCAAAGATCAGTCTGTTAATAGCAGGACTCTGGCCTGGACCACACTTAAATGTTAGCTTGACCTTTCTACTCCGTGGGTCAGGGCTGTGACAAACCCAGCCTCCTGAGCGCTACAATTACCCTCCCTCTCCCCCAGCACCAGAGTGGATACGGCGGGAACGATGGGAGAACACGTCCATAGCTGGGGAGTGGATCAGCTGCAGCCACACAAAAGCCCTCCTCTGTTTGCTGTAGGATGCGGCTGCGCGACAGATTGCAGGCTATGGGGCACTGTGGCAAGGTTACAATGGGGAAAGGTGGGTGACTAAGTGACGTGGTGGGGTTACAGCAGGTAGCATGAGAGGGTTATTGCAGGCTACAGGACACCATGGCAGGATTAGAGCAAGGTGTGTGGCAGGTTACATGGTGGGTTTTATGCATGCTGGGGTGACATGGCCGGGTTACAGCAGGCTACCGGGCAGGTTTATGGAAGGGTGTGTGGCTAGGTGCTGTGGCAGGGTTACGGCAGGTAACATGATAGGGGGTTACATGGTGCTGATACAGCAGGCTAGTGGGTGACATAGTTTGGCAGGGTGACAAGGCACGCTTACAAGATAAGTTAGGGAGGGCTGTGTGGTAGGGTGACAAGGTGGGGATTACAGCAGATTACGTGGTGGGTTAGGGCAGGTTGTGTGGCCAGGTGACATGGTGGGATTCTGGCAGACCATGAGCCTGCATGGCAGGGTGATGTAATGGGATTACAGCAGGTTACGTGGCAGGGGGTTATGTGGCAGGGCTATGGCAGGCTATGAGGTGGCATAGCAGGGTTTTGGCAGGTTATGTGGCAGGGGTTTACGTGGTGGGGTTACAGCAAATTGCATGGCAGTGGGTGAGATGGTGGGGTTACGGCAGGTTGCATCACAGGAGGTGATATGGTGGGGTTATGGCAGACTGTGCGGCATGGCAGGGTTACGGCAGGAGACAAGCCGGCGTGGCAGGAGGTGGCATGGCAGGGTGAGGTGGTGGGGTTCGGGCAGGCTATGGGGCGGTGTGGCAGGCAGGGCCAGATTTCCAATTAAGCAAATGCCTAGGGACACGGGTGTTCTAGGGGTGGCTAAAAGTGGGTTAAAGTTAATACATCCAGGTCCCATGTGGGTTGGTGGCCTCCCAGCAGTGGGGCTGGAGCAGGGGAGTATGAGTCAGGGGGCATGGGAGGCAGGGCAGCTGCTGAACGTGTTGGGCCCGTCCCACTCCCTTCCCAGTCTGGGCCGCCCGGCTGCCTCGGCCCTGTGCTGGGGGGAAAGAGGGAGGGGCATGGCTGGCACCCCATGCACTTGCTCAGGCAGAGCCGGAGTGTGGCAGCCACCTGGGTACCGCTCGCTGTGGGGAGAGGTCCAGACCCGCCCTTGCGCCTGGCCTGGGGCGGGTGGGCTGCGCCTGGGTTCAGGCTGGGAGCGCTGTGCGTGGCAGGGTGTCTCGTGCTGTCCCAGGGAGCCGCTGTTCATCTCTATTTGTGCCTAGGGGCGCTTGTGGTGCAAAGCCGGCTCTGGTGGCAGGATGAGCGGTGTGTGTGTGTGTGGGGTGGGGGGGGGTTAGGGCGAGGCGTCGTGGTGGCGAGGAGTGAGGGGTGGTGTGT